TTCCTGACTGAACCCAGCACATTATTCTAGAAAGAAGAGAAATTTTATTAAAAGACATGGTGTAACCTTATGTGCTACAATTTAATGAGTAAATAAAATAAGTAAATTTAATTAAAATGAATTAGTGAATCAGTTTTGCCCTGTTAGAAATTCAGGTTCTGATACTACAGATGATTTGATCAACTTTGATAAACAGGCAAAACTTTAGCTGCCCTAATCTAATACTGATAGATCTGCAGGAGGTTGGACTGGAGGCCTCTAGATGTCCCTTACAACCAGCTCTTCTGTGGTTTGCAGTTGCATTTCACTCAAGCACTAGCCTTTCCTTCAGCTCCACAACAGCAGGAAAGTGTTCAGAAGCAAGTTCTTGAAAATAAGACCCATCTGGAGGGTTGCTTTAGCTCAACACTATGAGGACTTGCCATCAGGTGATTTGTCAGCATCATGTCTTCTTACCTGCAATGCAATTATTACAGTGGAGAAGCATGCCACTTTCTGAACAGTTTGATTCTTCTTGCTTAAGGAAGAATGAAGCTTTTTTTTTTTTTTTTTTTACGTCTCTTTTACGCTTCTTGCCACAGAACAAGAATTGCCTGAGCTTCCAAGGGATGCAGAGTTAACTGCTCACCATTCACCTTGTGACTTTAGGTCTGGGTGGCAAAAGGGCTTAGTGCCTTGTTTTCCATCATGGCTTGACAATTTAAAACCAGCACAGGGACTTCAGTTTTATACGTTGCAGATAATAACTGGTCACACAGTCATTACTGTTGCTTTTCTATGGCAGATTATGGACTCTAACAAAAATGCTGGGTAAGTGGAAAGCATCTAATACCTTATTCCATTTAGGGGGTATTTGTAAAATAGAATTTAGAAAATCCTCTTGTTCCAAGTGAAGGTCCTGCTGACTTGCTACTTGCAATTTGTGAAGAGAGGACAATAAATTCAGAGGAAACACACCAGGCATGAATGGGAATAGAATGTGTAAGTGAAAGAGAAGACCACGACCTTGGCCATTTGAAGCAGCATACCTGTCTATAGTGAAGACTGTTATACACGCTCCCCCCATCATAAGCTCTCAGTGCACCACTTTGAACTCCCTGCAGCAAAATCAGGCATGCAATGGTCTAAATGAAATCGTAGTTCTGTGGGGGTGCAATTAGTTTAAAAGAGAAAACTCAAAGTTGTTGTTTTTTGTTTTTTGTTTTTTTCTTGAACTGGCAAGATTTTTCAAGAGTCTCTCGCCTGTCTACCCAGTACAAGTAATTATTGTTATTAATTTGGCTCAATGGACAGAGATCATGTTTTTATGAATTGTGGTTAACATGAGGATGGGAGGAACTCAAAATGTTCTAGAAGATAGGAGAGGAACTCAAAATATCCCTTGTAGACTTTAGAATTGGCCTGAAATGATTCAATCAAAGATGTGTTGGTTGGAAGGAGCCTCTGAACACCTCTTGTCTAACTGGAGCAGGACGATCAGCAATACAAGGTCAGAGTGGCCATGGCTTGAGCCCACCAGGACCTGAACCTCTCCCCCATCTCTCTTGGGTACCTGCCCAGGGCTGCTCCCCACTGCAGGGGAAGGATTCCCTACCTCCAACCTGATCCCCCTGGGCTGTAATTTCTGCTCATTGCCCCTGGTTTTGCTCTTTGTCACTCACTAATCAACAAATACATGCTGGAGTCCGGTAAAGAATCTTATAAAAAATTATACATGGAAAAGAAAAATTGGTGGACATATACAGAATGAGGACTAACACTGCTGAGCAACAGCACTTCAGAAAATGGAGTGTGTGTTCTTGCTACAAAACCCACAAAGTTATTTTGGGATCTCTGAGCAGGAAGGCCACATTAGGAAGAAGCTGCGCTCTGCATACACCTGTGACACACTCAAGAGAAGATGTATCAACTGGTGAGGGTCCAGGAGAGATCAAGAAGAGGCCACTTGAACCCATGATCTACAAAAAAATGTGCAAAAAGCTGGGTACGTTTAGCCTAGGAAAGAGCATGAGGGCAGCATAGGACACAGTTTGTGTCAGAGGGCCTCTGGTAGTGACTGTTCTCCATGCCCACAAGGGGAAGAAGGAATAATAATCAGCTTAATTGGTAATAAAGCTTAGCTGGATGTTGCCCAGGGGAAGGTCTACCGTAGTCTGACCGCTAACAGCACTTGGGCTGTAAGGCGAGACTGGAGCTAGTCTGAAATAAGACCCCTGAAATGTGCCTGTTGTGGATGCAGCTTCCTCAGGTCCAAATGTTTCTCTTTGTAGATCCATTCCTTTGGGACCCCTCTACTTGACGATGACTCAAGAAGCTGCCAAGCATTTTATGAAGGGGTGAAAACAAAACCAACAAAGATATCACTGGTGTGTTGCAGCAACCAACACAAAGGACCATTATACTACTCTGTACGCTGGTTTGCATGGTAAGGTAGGTGGGAAGGTTTACCTGCAACCAGTGGATGATATTTTGTACTGAAGTCCCTGCTGGGGAGTGTGCTGCATACACAATCTACTCGGCTCTGAAAGGAAAAGAACGCATTTCACAATGGGTTTCACCTGACTCCACGAAATAGGGCAGCCAAAGCTTTTCCTTCAGAAGGACACCAAAGGCGCTCCGCAGATTTATTCCTACATACCATATTTACGTTATTCCAGTTAAATCCTAATAGCCTAATCAAGATGCTCCTGCAGGTCTTCAAGCAGGCACAGAATTTGGAAAGGACCAGCTCACCCAAGGTGGTGTGCGGTGCAAACTCTTTGGTGCTAAACATCTCCTGTAAAATTGCAAATGGAGTCATAAAATGTGAAGACTGGTCATGCTTTCCCCCAAAGCACCACCCCTTTACAGCTTTTATTTTACCCCCATGCTGACGTATGAGGTTGCCCATGAGTGGACCCTTCCTTGCACTCTGTTAAATGCTTCTGTTCCATGTTTTTTACAATGACCTCTTACATTCATTGTATTCTTGGCGGTAAACGTCAGGGTTCAATTCACAGTGTCTGCATCAGTTTTATTCACCAACGTTTGACACTTGCTGTGTGCCTGTCTGCCCATACCACTAGCTCTCTAGGCTGTAATTCTGCCAAAACATTTTGGGGGGTAAATTCAGGACAGGACAGAAAGACTCTGGACAGAGATGTGTGATTCCCTTCCTTGCAAAAACAGATGTAGCATGGAGTTCCTCTCCCTGTAAATGATTTGAAATATGCTGTGTAGGTAATTTAACAATCTTTATGAATACCTACTTTCATTTGGCTATGCAGAATATAGTCTGGACCAACATACTTTAAACTCATAGTCAGAAAAGAATGCAAGCTTGTTAAATGGAATTTGAACAAATGTAATTGTGGCCACGGGTGTTAAAGTACAAAGTACATCTTGATTTTCTCAGCCAGCTGAGTGGAAAAGGCTACGAAAGCCGGGAAAAAAACCCCAAAACCAAAAACCAAACAAAAAAACCCACCCAAAGAAAGAAGAAAAAAACAACTTACTCTTTCAAGACATTCATGTATACAGTTTAACTTCAGTAAGAAGTGTTTTACAAATCCAAAAGATAACACAGACATCAACATCAGTCAAAAAAGACCCACTCACCTATAATGGTTCCTTGTGAATGACCAATATAATATAACTGCTTCTCTCCTGTTTCCTGTTCAATAAAGTTTATCATTGCCGGGAGATCATATTTACCTATTTCATCAAAGCTGCAGAAGGAACACTGGTCATCTTAATGAGAGGTGTAGCATCTACATCTGAACAACCATCACCAAGAAATCACAAAAACAGCAGGGCAGGACAACCCCACAAATCTCTTCATCCTACTGACTGTGTACTTGGGTAAGCATGTGGGGCTTTCACCTAAAATAAGTGGATGTGCTTCAGTTCAGCCTGGTTCGTTGCTCCCTGAGCTAGGGCAGCATCACCTTTTGAAGACAGTTGATTCTGACAATTGTTTTGAAGTCAGTTGTTTCCAAGATCCTCGAACTACCCATTTACCGGAAAGCACAGAATTCCTCCCATCTGGGAGACAGGACCAGATGTCACTTGGACCAAATGTTCCCTCTGGTGTTGCCTGTCCAAACGTCATAGCCAGCATCTGCAAGAATGAAGCCCAGGCTGTTGTTGGGCAAATTGGTAACCCATATGTTGCCTTCTCTCACTAAACCGTGTTGCAGAAATGCAGTGGGCCTTGGACCTGGAAGACAGACATAGTGCCGACTTTTTTTTTTTTTTTAATGCTGACTATCATCATTTGAGACAATTTAGGGACTCTTTTCCTTATTAATTATGGCAGCCAAAGTGTAGGGAGGTTTGTGTCAGTGTTAGGTAGGTCCATTCCACTTAATTTCAGTAAAACAGGTTTGCTATGTAGCAGATGTACTGGGTGCACCATCTCTCAGAATGCTTTGCCTTTTATCCCCAACACCCCTTCCCACCTCCTCTGCAGATGACCTATCATTAAGAGCACCTAGAGTTGAGGGATGGTATAAAAAAAACCAGTGTCTTCCCATGTTCCTTATTTTCTCCAACCCCTGAAAAATGCTGGAAAGTCTGCCCTACCCCCAGTCATGTCCCACAAAGATGTGCTCATGCGTTCTTCGCTGGAGCAACATATCTCACCAGGAGGCAGAATAAGCTTTTCCATCTGGCCTACCATTACTTTGGCCATGCTCTTGGGGCTGTGAGGGAAAGGCTGGAACACCCAGAGATGTGGAAGCAAATGGAACCCTTGTCTCCCACCCCCTGTGGCAGGCCCCTCGTTATTGTCATAAACATTTGGAGTATGTAAAGCCAAGTTACTATTTCCCAGACATCTCACAGCATCTGCTTTTGTCTCCAAGGACACTGTCCGCTGAGTGTTTTCAGAGACGCTACCAGAGCAGTGCCTACACTCGGCAGGCTTTTGGCGAAGAAGGTTTGCTGGGAGCATTAGCAGAAATTGGGATGCCCAGGGAGCTCTGTAGGCAAACATGGAGGTGCCTGGAGATGTGATAGGAAAAGATACACCTTTTCATAGATCTAGAGTCTCCCTGTCTAGTCTCACAGGACAAGAGGGTCCCCAGGAAGCTCCTCAAGGAGTATCAAATCCGTCTGCTGATGTACTACATAGCTGCAGGACTGCCGGAGGAAATCCAAGGTGTGCGTGAGGCACCAGTGGGTAGGATGGATGGGCTGCTGCTCATTGCTAGGACTGCAGCCTGCCAGGTGCACGGGGTGTCACCCATGCTCAGGCTTCCATGCAGGGTGAGAAAACATCACTGCGTTCCCTACAAATTCTTACTGATCAAAACAGAGGCATGGGGAACCTTGAAAACTCTCTTGCACAAGCCTTGCCATCCCAGTCAGAATAAACCAGCATTGGGTTTCCTGTATGACACAGACAACCATTTTACCTTGGCTTCCAGCATTTCTTCTCCCATAAGGAATTCTGTTTAGCTGAAGGGTATAGCCCTCTTCTGTCACCACACAAGAGTACTCCTCAATGGGGTATCCCCCGAAGGACACCATTCCATTCTGCATGAAGATAAAACCAAAGAATAGTGTTTTCAAGTGTTTTCAAGATGCTTCTTCAAGGTAATCTGTAAACATACTATTTCACCATCAGTATTTTATAGGGGCGGTTTTCCAGACATTTACTCCCTTTGCTCCAGTGCCATCATACTTAGGATGTTCATCTGTGTTTCTGGATTCTTACAACAGGGAAAATTACAGAAGCATTGCCCAGGTATGATCCCACGCACCATGGACATCAGAGCTAGAGCTAGCCACATCCTCGCTTTGCCTAGAACAACTCATTCACGGTGCCAGTGCCATCGGGAGCAGATCACACCAGATCTGCACCTACCAGGATTCGATTTCATACCGCTTAGGTGCTCACTTGATGTCCAGAAACACTGCTCACTGATCCAAGCCCAGGAGACACAGCAGCATATGGAGAACAACTTGTGCTTCCACTGTAAGCTCATGATGGGTGATTTCCAGCAGTGGAGAGATGTGGGCAGGAAAATATCCCAGGTAGGACTCAGTCTGGTGGTCTAGGGGACCACTTAAAGCATGAATACATGTGCAGTGGCTCCGGAAACACATCTCAACTGGGATATTTTCAGGGAGGTGGAACAGACTGTCGGGAATTCCAGTAAGGGGCAAGGCAGCAATCCTTGCCATTCTGTACAGACCACTGGAAATGGCAAGCATGTATATATAACATCACATGAGTGACTTTCTTCTGTTATTTTTGTATCATTTATCTGCTCATGTCTGAAAACCACCAGAGAACACCTTTAAACACCTGTCTGTAGCGTAACGGAGCTCAAGGACAATTTGGGGCTGGAGCTCCAGGACAATTTGGTGCTTTCTACAGAAATTGCAGGACTGCAAGGCAAGGCATGTCACACAGAAAATCATTGAGCATTTAATTACGGCTTTAGTAATGATCCATTACAGTACTGTTGTGCTGGGTTCAGCCAGG